AGTCCGCTTCGTGACATGCCGCTGAGGTGTTGGCGGATGCCCGGGCCGCTGCCGGCCGCCCCGTGCGAGGTGCGCGGTCCAAGGTGCTGCATCGCTGATCAGTGTCTCCGAGACTTGGCTGCTCAGTGCCCTGAAACCATCCAAGAAAACGGGTCTTGGAGGTCTTGGCACCTTTTGGAGACAGACTCGTTGGCTATATACCTTAAGGTCTTTTGGAAGGTTTCCTATCAGGAGGACTGAGAGGTGAGACAGGTGAGCTGAGCTGCCGGTGCAACACCTCGTCGTCAGAAGGAAGAAAGCCACCAAAAAACGGTTCCACCCTGTTCCTCCACCGAATCCTTCAGAGAAAAGTCAGAAGCCTTCCATGTGCGCGGCCAGGCGGGTCAGGACCTATTGGGCTGGTCTGTGAGCTCCGCACGCGCTTGTTGGGGACCTTGCAGCGTCAGGAGCTCAAGGATTGTTGGGGGCAGAAGGCGGTCCAAACCAATGAAGCCAGTGTCAGAAGAGTAAAAGGTACCATATAAAGCAAGATCCCTGGACCATGCAGAATGAAGAAGGAGAAGAAGAAGAGGCAGGCGCATGCCATGCATCACATGGCTTACAGTAAGACGTAGAGCCAGGTCTAGATTGCCAGAATCAGGGAACACCTGCATTTTCTGTGTGTTTCCCCCGCAGAACACATGCGAAACGACTCTTCGCGGCTTGGCTCTCGACGCGTCGCTCTCGCCTCCTTTTCTCGCCGGGCCACGTTGACCTGGCGAGACGGTCCCAGGGGAGACGGCCTTGTCCAAGCCGACCCTGGAGCTGGTGACAGGGCTCTTAGAGTCTGCGAGTGTGCTGTCAGGAACTCAGAGATCGGGTGGGGGTCCGGTCTGAGCATCCGCCACTGGACGGTTTGGATTTGGACCGGACCAAGTCCGAATGAAACACTTGTGATGGGTCACGTTTTGCCGATGCAACCACCTCTGGGCTTGGAACCCGAGGCTCCGGCGCCACGCGGCGGAGTTCTCGGAGGAGGAGCCCGGTGGCCGAGGAACGGCAGACTCACCGGTGTTTCGGACGAGGACTCCGGTGGAGGTCGTTGTTAGGTGTGTCGGGTCTATGATGGTCTATGGGTTTCTTCCTTTTTGGGACCTACTATTTTCTTGGGTGAAGGCGTGGAGGCTGGAGGTTGGATATGGAAGCGGCTGGATGGAAGTTCGCGTTGCATCGGACAGGAGACTTGGTCAGTGGTCCATTCGGTTGGAGGGTTGCAACAGTTTGTGTTGAATATGTGTCCTGTTTAAACACAATGGCTTGGTGTTTTTCTTCTGCCTCTGACAGTGACCGGCCCACCCTACAGCTCTCAGGCTGCAGCGGCTCTACAACATCGCCACCTCGGTGGCATTGGAAGAGGCGGAAGGGTCGCGCCGAAGGGGCGAGGCGGAACCCGCGCTTTTGGAGGAGCATTCCTGAATCCTCACTCCCCAAATGCAAACCCCCCAAAAGAAAAGAAGTGGAGGTGAGGAAAGCTTGATTCGGGAATAGCCGTTGAAATTCTCAAAGAAGTGGTTTTTCAAGGTGATAGAAGTCTAGAGATAGCTGGCTCTGGTCCTTTCTCAAAGGGCCTCTGTATAAATGAGGCAACAATAGCATGGACCAACAGACCACCCCATTTCGTGGACCCCATAAGATTTTTGGACCTCCCTTCAAGACAATTTCCTTCACGGGTTTACAGGTTCTTTCACGAGTTTCTGGTTGAAGGATCTTGACTCGCTTTCGCTTCCAGGAGCATGAAGAAAGTCATCCAGTTGTGTCCATGAACATCATGAACAGTCCGTTTGATCACCCCAATCGCATCTCTTCAGTCGGGGTCACCCGCCGGCTTCGGGCCTTCCGTCGACTGGGGTCACCCTGTGGGTGCGACACCCCGAGAGGTGACCCAAGTCTCCATCCTGAGAGTTCTTGTTCCGTTCGTAGCGGCCTTGCTCCTAGTAGTACTGCCAGGAGCCCCAAACGTAGCGTTCCTTGCTCCGTTCGTAGCGATGCCAGGAACCCCGTTCCTAGCTTCTTGCTACTGTGTTTGGGAAAAAGCCTCCACATCTTCAATCGAAAGTACCCTGAGGAGGGATTTAGCTGGGGTGTCCTATTGGTCGCTTGGTCCCCTTTTTTGCAGCCAGTCGCCCTCTACACGCCTGGGTCCCCGCCGGGCGGCGCTGCAACTCTTCCAGGAGCTAAGAGATGTGCAGAAGTTGCAGAGGGTGTTAGGGAATGAAGCAAGTTGGTGGGTTGTTTGGCGCTTGGAGATGCTTAGAAACTGATTGGTGGCTTTTCCCTTCTATTTTTTTACATTCTTCCACTGCATGCTTTCGACTCATTGGTTCTGCCATCCAGGATGGGGCAACCTCCACGGACCTCGGAGGGGCGTTTTTTTTTTTTTTTTTTCTCCGGATTCTGCTTTTGCTGCGTTTCTGCTTCTGCTGCTTTTTTGCTTTTGTTGCTTTTCTGCTTTTGCATTTCTGCTTCTGCTGCTTTTGTTGCTTTTCTGCTTTTGCTGCTTTTCTGCTTCTGCTGCTTTTCTGCTTTTTGTGTTTTTGTTTTTCTGCTCTTTGCTTTTGTTGTTTTTCTGCTTTGGCAGCTGTTCTTCTTTCACTTTTTGTTTTTGCTTTTCCATTTGTTTGCTTTCTAACCTTTGGATCTGGTGTGCTGCTGGTTGGGCGTTGCGCCCCCCCCCACCCCCCCCCCTGCGCCACGAAATCTGCACTTCATCTCCGACACCCGCGCCTGCCACGAAATCAATATTTTAAGGTGAACTCCCCGGGGCATAAACTTCTAACCAATCATATATGCCTCCTGCGCTGGTTCTCTTTCTCTTTACTGTTTCTCTGCTCACGTAGGACTTTCTCTGACACCTACACTATTCCAATGTATTTTGCCAGCTACGACAGATCCCAAATAGTCTAATCAGCTAGCAATTAATATGAAACCTGCACTATTCCAATGTATTTGGCCGCCTACGACACCTGTGTCTCGGCTAAGGACACGAAATTGCTGTAATTAGCTAGGTACTAAAAAGACACCTGCTCTATTCCAATGTGTTTGAAAAAACCTAAAACAAATACCAAATTAAACGTGCACCCCTTCCGTCGCAACTGGTTCTTCTGATGTGGCACCTTCGTCGACCGTCCAAAGCATCGCCCCCGGCCCACGATCAACTACCCCTCCGTCCAAAACGGGCGACCTCCGAGGTTGAACAGCCTGAAAAGCCCATCAATATACAGCAGTACATCTTCCAACTACAAATTCTAAAGTTCGACCCTTTGGCTGGTTTTATGGATGAAACGACAGACATTTTGCACAGTTGGAAAAAACATATATACAAAAAATAAAATAGTACAATATTATATAGTACATAAAAAAAGCATGATATGTATATCTTAAGTCATTATCTCTCTCATCGGTCTCTGGACCGAACCCCAGGACCACGCCTTTGTCTTTCGCCGCCTCTTCGCACGGGAAGCTCTCGTGGTGACCGAGCGGAAGCCGGGCGACCGGGCGCTGGCGGCCGGGACGCCGAGCGACGCCGAGCGACGAGGGAAGGGGAAACTGAAGTGGGATGAAGGTGGCGAAGAAGTCGGAAACATCAGAAACAACATTTAGGACATCCTTTTTCTCGTGTGGAAGCCATTCAGATGTAGATGCGGGATGCGCCGATGTGAGGATTCGCCATTGCTGCGGAAGATGCTGGCGTGGTGGCTCAGGGAATGACAGCGCAGGAGGCCATGGGAGGGAGGCAACATCCCCTTTAGGCAGGGGGCTTGATTATTTCCTCAAGGTAGCCAGTTCCACCTGCCGCTGTGCAAGAAAGACCCATCCAAGCTATCCTTTTTGATTCATATGAAGAGCCAATGGGTTGTCTCCACAGGTCCAGAAGACTTGTTCAGTGGATGCAGGTGCTCCTCTCAGGGTCAAGTTTGGCAAGTGTCAAGTTCGGCCCGCATGGGGTTCATCGTAGACAAACAGAGTTTTAGAGATGAACATAATTACCCATAAAAGGACCCACCTTGGAGTTTTGGCTCTCAACCTGACAAGCTATCAGAGAGTTGGATCTTCTGAAAGCCTCGAAGCTTCAGTGAGCCAAGGGTCATAGCCAAAATGCCCTTCAAAAGACCTCGTTGACACAAAAATGGCCTGGCCTCTACGGTACTCGTGCGGTAGTCTTCCTTTTGGACATTGCTCTTTTGATCCTTTTGTGTTCCTTGAGTTCCTATCTTTTTTCATATCGCGCATGATGGGTGTTCCATTTCCGGCAGTCCGACGGTGCTGGATGACTCGATATGCTTTCAATTGGACCATCCGGGAATCGGAGGACCTTTGGGAACGACTTCAGAATGAGATCCTGGTCCATTTGCCGAGCCGGGTCATCCTGACACTTTTTTCGTGAAGCCATAGAAGACAGACACACTTGAGGACACTTGGGTGCGTCGTGGAACACGGAGACCCCCAAAAGACTCCGGAAAGGCCTCCAAAAGATCCCCATAGACCGCAACACTGTGATGGGGGTTTCCCTGAGATAACACACCCACCCAAGGGTGTGAGGCTCGGTGCCCCTCTTTGTTGCCGCCGAGGACACCACCGCCGCGTCGCAGCCCGACGTCGCCTCGGCGGGCCGCGGCATGCTGACCGCCGTGTTGCGGGTGCGGTGACCCGTTGGGGGACGGGTTTCAGAAGGGTTTTCTGCACTCCGTCGGCCTCCATCGGTCCCCTCGGTCTAAAAAGAAGGAACACTACCGTACCACAAAAACGAACGGCCTCCAATCGGCCTAACAGTGCTTTTGGCCGACAGGGTGGTTTCGCCTCTACATCGCCTCTCCGGTCACGCAGCTCTTTTTCGATCCACGGTGGTTTTCCGGCGATCCTTGGATGGACCATCCTCCACTTGCCGCCATTGGGGTCTCATAAGGTTTCCCAAAGATAAAGATCATAAGGTTTCAACATCATAATACAAGGATGAGAGACGGATGAAGAACACATGCCTTGGCTGCATCGGCTCCAGCTCCATCCACGTTTTGCCGCTTACTGATCCGCTGCTTCGTGCGCCCAGAAATCCGATGTTCGTGCGGGTGACCTGCACGTGGGCGTTGAGTCTCTGGAGTCTATTGCTCATCTGCACATGGGATGCGACGGCACTGGAAGTGGCAACTTGGATTGGACAGGGTGTATGTCGAACATACCCACAACCACAGGGTCGGTGTTTATCAAATCCGTTGATTCTGTACATTTGATATCCAGGATATCCACATCAGAGAAGTTCAAACCCGAAGAATCTTGATGACCACCTGTCGGATGTGCTTTTTTGATATCCCGGTGTAGCAACGAGGACCCTACCATACTCTACCATTTCAACAAGCTGCCAATTTTCTTTTCAACTTTTTTGGTGCTTCCAACTATTGCACCAGAGGCGCAAATCCCCGGAGATGCATTAAGCGCCATGCACGAGCAGAAGTCCCTTTGGAACATGAGAACCCCGGGCGGAAAAATCTCTTTCAAGTTACGAAAAGCCGTGGATTTTCTCCGCACTGAGTGGCAACTCACTTGAAGATGCATTCGAGATCACTCCACTGCTGATAGAGGAAACGGGACATCTCGCAGGTTCCTCCGTGATCCTGCAGAATGAGTAGGCTTGGATGGTCTTTTGGGTGTTTCTATCTACAGTGACTCAAAGTTTCCCAGTCATTATATCAAGCTATCCTCTTTTAATCGATTCCCTCCGTTGGCTACGTTTGCCGAGGTGCGCCAAGGAAGTCCCTGTGGTCCCAACGAAGTCCCTTGGCCTTCAGAAGACGGTGCTTTTCACTGCGAGGCCTTCGAGGAGCGGGATTGGATTTGAGCCTTGCAGAGGTCACGAGGTCGGTAGCCCTCCAGGTTCAGGGGATCCGACCGACCTCGTGTCTCCCTCTTAGAGGGGGAAGACGATCTTTTGTCGCCGCATCGTCCGACCGGCACCGAGCTGGGTGCGGAAGCGAGGGCGCGGAAGGATGGGCCCTCAGTGCCTCCCGTTCGCGGTTGCACAGGAGGCGTGGAAGCGTGCGGAGGCCTTTCTGAATGAAGCCTGGACCTACGAACGGAGCGAACGACGTTGAGTGATTCCGCAAGTGCAGAGTGGGGTGAGCACCTAGCGTAGATATAGAATCATAATAAAACCTTTGGAGCAAATCGACACGGCAACAGGCGAGCGGCTGCATGGAATTTTGACATCTTCCATATCCAATTTCAACTACTTTAAAACCGATACCAAGTGAGATGAGAGTACCGGGGGCAGACTCATTGAGTTCCTTTTGTTTGTATCCAAGTATTCTGATGCCTGTTGGACTGCCCGTGAGGAACAGCGCAAATGAGCAGTTGTCGATGAACAGCGTAATGCAATATGCGTGCATAGCCGGCCTAGCCCTCAACACAAGCATTTGGTGAGAATATTGGAGGTGCCATGGGCGTGTCCTTCAACAGAGATACATGAGGCACAAATGTAAAGAGCTTGGCTGCAAAGTGCAGCCTCCAGAAAACGGCCCTCTGTAATCGATCTCCGCAACGATTCATTCTTCTACTCGTAGAACATGCCTATGCCTTGATTCCTTGCCGCTAAGATCTGTTTATTTCAGACGTTTCTGGCACCAAAACTGGAGCCTTCCGCTGTTGCTTGAAACCCAAACCCGAGGACAACATGCCGCCGTGGGACCTCTTGAATCGCGGCACCTTGCAGCTGGGCCTCTTGCCCGCCACGGTGACCCAAGCCCTCCAGGCCAGGCTTGGGGCGCCGGGAGGCGGGTTGAAGCCGAGTCGATGCTCGTCCGACGCCTGCGAGCCTCCAGCCTCGATCTACGGGGCGGGAGAAAGCTGCCCTGGTCGAAGCACCTACCTATCCTGTCCTGCTCCGTGCTTTTGGGTGAGGTCCTGAAGCGCATTCTGAGACCCCATTCTCGGTGCTTTTGGGAGAATAGATGCCCAATCTGATGCTCCCATCTGAAATATGGTCAACCCTTGGGAGAAGGCGTGTGGATTTTTAAAGGACATCTCGGATTTTTCCCCAAATAGGGCTGGGGCTGCGGCCCAACCACCACAATTCTGGCCGACGAAGCTGTTTGGGGATTTTCTTCGCCCAGTCCCAACCGACCTTCTCGAGGCCGGGAGGGGGGTGGGTACCGCAGCAGGTACGTCAGAACTTCAGCTGGGCCGCAGAAGTGCCAGAGGAGAGAAGAGTTGTGGAACTTCAGCTGGGCTCTGCCTTTGGAGGGCCAACCTAGACTATTCCTGGATGGGGGTGTCCAAAGGAGGCCGAGGCTAGTAGTCTAGGATGGTCTATTGGTGACCCCGAATGGACAGGCTGATGGATAATTTAGGTGTGAGGGATTTTGCATCTTAGACTTCTCTCTCAGGTTCAGAATTCACGCGCCGTTCTACCACCGGGCCTGGCTTGAAGGGTATGGGTTGGTGTGTGGTTGGCCTACATAGGAGCTACATACAGTACAAGTTCCCATCTATTTTCTGACCTGGCCGGCAGGCCGGGGCGTAGTGTGACGCAAGGCAGACTGACCTGGTCTGAGCAGAAGAACGGGTCTGAGAGCCCCACGATTTTGGCGTGTCATGTGGCGTGCATCCACATGGCCAGTCCAGACAGGTGCCCCGCTTGGTTAGGATCGTAATCCCATTCCTTTCACTTCAGAGGAGATCTGGCTGAACTACGTGCTGCCCTATGCTAGCGTGAACGAAGCCCGCACAGACTGGCGGAGATTATTGCAACTTCGTGGCACTTGGCTTCGGAGTTTTTGGCTCTGCCACCCATAAGCCACTGTCTTCGCATGGACCTTCACGCCTTCGCTTTTTCAACCGCTGATCCCATCAGCCGCGGCGGATCCGTCTGTCGCTAGGTTCGAGGCCCTGAAGATCGACGCTGCGAAGCGGAGCTTGGCAGAGGTCACCCAGCCACGCGGGACGCACTGAGAAGAAGGGCTCCAGGTTTTACATGGGGTGGGGATGGACCCAGCGCCCTGGTGCAACGGTCCAGGGTCTCCCTGTCGCACCGTCGTTCAAGCCTGTGCGACCGGTGAGGTTGGTGAATGAGAAACTCTGGTCTGCAGTCCGCAACGACACCACCATTGTTTTCAAGGCGCAGCAGACTCCGCTGATCTATGTGACTGGGTGGCAGACTAGACGTTTTTTGGGCGACCATTGGTACATTTGGTGCTTGATCAACACTTTTTGTCCTTGTCGTATCCCATGAAAAGGACGATGGGCTGCTTTGGGCACCCACAATACACATGACCAATCCGAGAAGCCATGGGACTCCCTTGGGCCCGGGCCCTTTTGTCCGAGTGCCGCATTCCCCGTCCTTATCTCATTGCCTTGATCCTCCAAACGCACCCAGACGCCCAATGGTTCTCAAACACGCTGCCTTTTGCAGGTTGGAACGGTATGGAACTGAGTTTGTTGCCAGTTCCTCGTTCCTTTTCGAACGGTGTCCGACCTGAGAACTGTAGGTACTGATTCTTAAACCTGAGATCTCCGAGTGACATGCTGATGCAAAGCCCAGGTTTTTACTCACAAAATATCACATAGCCTCCAAACCTCTACTTTGACTTATATATCATATATCAATTACTGTTGGTGGACCAACTCCTACACCACCTCACCAATGCACTGAGCAGGTGGTGCAGGTGGCGTCCCTACCTTCCACTTGTTTGGGGCTTGTCTCACTTTGGTGGTCCCAACGTTAAAGAGGAAGAACGAGGGGCAGCAAGGAAAGTGTGCACACACAGACAAAAACACATGCGTGCAGGAATCCAGGATTTGGTTCATCAACCGCAAGAGGTTTTAGACACCAAGTTCTTAATTTGGACCAACTGCAGAGTCGTGCGCTTTTTTCCTTTCTTCTTTTTCCTCACCTTCATTGCCTTTCTTGAAGAGCTGTGGTCAGGATACAATGAGCGCCATCGCTTTTGGCTATGCCTCCTGCACGGGTTTGTCCATCATGTTCCTGGACGCGCTGCGCAGCGTGGGGGTGCCCGCTCGCCTGGTGGGCACGCCCGCGTGGCATGGGACCTTTGCCGACGGGCGACCCGGGCGTTCAAACGGAGGTGGGAACGTGACATGGGACCATGGCTACATACAGACATACCTGGGACCATGGCAACTGATGGAGGTTGAGGTGAAAGCATGGTCGTTTGGTCGTTTGATGAGAGCGAACTTGAACGCTCTGTAGAAGAGATTGAGAGCACACAAGGGGGAGAGAGAGAGAGAGAGAGTCAGTCGGTGTGGGAAGTCTGAGAGACCATGTCAGACATCGGGTGCACCAGTCCCATGTCCCTTCCGTTCACACTCTGCGAATGCGAGTTGTGCTCAGCAAGCACAAGCGCAAAAGGTCCGCTTTGAGCCCGAGGAACCACAACTGGGTGGAAATCTGGCTGGGCCATGGTTCTGGCCTCTTTGGGGAAGCCTGGACGTTCTTGGAAGCCTCTCCTGCTGGGCCTGGCGAGCATCTGCTCAATCCCTGTGACAAGTGGTTTTGCAACCCCAGTTGCTGGGCGATGTTTGTGGTACCAATCGCGGTCTTCGAAGAACATCGCAGGGTGGTTTGTCCTGTAGGTCCGCAGTGGAGTAACAAGTCCTTCACCAAGGGACAGCATTTTAGCTGTACTGACTTTGGACAGCCTTATAGCATTTTATAGCCCTTTCTGTACTTCTTACCTGCATGGGTCTGGGCCCACAGAGTCTCAAAGAGGTCCAAGCACAGGACGTCGCAACAGGACGTGCGAGGGTGACACCTGTCTCGACCCGGTATGATGCTGTCTCAACCAGTGCGTGGCCCTTCGGCATCGACCGCGAGATTGAATGTTTGAAGAAGAGGTGTAGACATGAAAACCATTGACAACCACCAGAGGTTGGTGTTTCTAGAACATCTTGCTCCATCAGATAAGAATGATAAGAGCCAACCGTTAGTTGCGTGCAAAGTTGGTTTAATGTGGTTTGTGATGTGCACATTGGACACAACGTTTGGATCTCTGGTTGCCGTGTGTGTGGGGGAACAATGGATCCATGCCACCAGATGTGAGGGTTGTTTGGATGGGCACACCTGTTGTATTGTAAGGGGTTTCTTCAACATTCTTCAACCTTAAAATCGGGATGTCCCTCGATCGTTTTTTGTCCTGCAGCAGGTATGGGTGTGCCAAATTTGTATGGGTTGCCGCGGGCCCATACAAATGGATATATAATGATATATACCAATGGACACCACTTGATGAATCCCGTGGACCTAGTTGAGGTCACTTTGATGGGAAGACCATGTCCTTCGCGGCCAAGTTTGATCGCGAGAAGGAGAAGTTCAACTATTATCCCATGGCGTGGGATATGGAGAACAAGGACCACATTCATCATTTTTGCCGCACTTTTGGATCAGCTTGTGAGATAGGCTGGGCTGGGTCCAGTGGAAGGACACCAGCTGGGAAATGGAAATCACTTGGTCCATTTGTTCGATCTACTCTTCAGTCTCACCACTTCGAGCAGAAAAAACATGGAACACTTCGACATCGAGTCTCTGAGAAATCTCTTTCTCCAATCACTTGAGGACCGAAGGACCGTTTTCTGATGTCAGGACCGTTCTTCCACCGTGCTCGAGGGTTTTTATCACCACCGTGCCTTCCTCCGACGGTTTTCACACCTGCTTCGCCCAGGACATCCCCGGGGTGAATCGCACCGACTTCTACAACTCGATTTGCAGCAAGTGCTAGCAAAAAGGAAGTGCCAGGGTTGGGGCAGTCAACGAGCCCAGGTTGTCTTTCTTTATATGTTAGGGTCCCTATTTAGTGGTCAGAGGTGCTGAAAACATTGCGGTTGCCAACTGTACCTGCCAAGTGATGGGCACGTGTGGGGCCACAACCGATACAAACTTGCACAGTTTCAAGCGGCCAAAATACCTCAGAAGTCCATGTGGGAAGTAGCAAACCTGCTGCAAGAGGTACTGTACAATGTGCAAACCTGTGTACGGAGCCACTTCCACTTTGTACGGACTACTCGCGCTTTTCCATGATGATTCTGCAGAAGGAGAAGTACACTTCCATGACGGTTGGAAAGCCATCCTATAGGAATCTCCATGATGCATAGCTGAACAAGTGTGAACCCCTGGTCTACGTCAAAGAATAAAACACAGTGATGTTCCATCGGCACGCCCACCAAATCATGTTTGTTTGACCCACAGTGTACACTTGTTATATTTTTTTAAAAGAAATAGTATTGCTTAGGGGTTGGTTGTACCATCTACTCTGAATCCACATGCAGGGAACGCAGCACTACCCTTGAGGTCCTGGGAGAGTGTGCGAAAGGGAATTGGTGGGAAATGGTCCACGGCCACAATTCATGTCCTAAGAATGATCCCAATTTCTTGGCCGCGGTGATTTTTTTTACAGCCATCAAGGATGGCATGTGGTTTTTGTACGGCCAAGTAGAGCTCGCCTCATGTGAGCCTGGTGCAATTTGGATGTTGGCCTTCAGTTGGCCAGCGCAGATCTGCCTGTTTGACTCTGGCAGGCCCTCAGCGATGGGGTGTTGAATGATTTGGATGCGCGGAAGGTGACAGATCTTGCAGAGGCCGTGGTTGGCAGGGCGGTTGCCAGGAGTGAGGAAGATGATGTGAATCATTTGAGAAGGGCCCTCACTTCTGCGATACCCACTGGGGAAGCTATGCCTTCACCCAAGCTTTCGACCCCCTCACGGCCTCACGTTTCAAAAAACACGATCCACTTCACTGGAATATTCACTGGAATATTTCATTTTTGCACATGTGCAGGGCGGCACATTGAGTGAACCGATGTGACTGGTGTGATGGGATAGCGCTCATGTCTTTCTTGAACCACGGACCACCAGCGTATCCCATGTTCACTCGGTAGTTGGTGGCTTGGAATCTTGGTATCCATGCGCTGGGCCTGCGCAATGAGTGAAACAAACCATCAAGGCTTTCATTGGGTGAATTGTAGGTAGTGCAAGAGCAACAAAACTGAGCCAGCTTGACAAAACACCGTACTTGCCCCTCCGGTAGTTTCAGCGCGACACAGAACCATACAAATCACAGCGTATCACTACATGAACCCCTCTGCTTGGATGGTCAGCACCGCTACTCTCGGAGGCCTCCCGCAAGCGCCCGCTGGAGGAGGCGGACGAGGTGCGGCGGGAAGTGTTCAGGCTCCCTTCAACACCGACCAATTGGAGGAGCTGCCAGGGAGCAGCTTTGTGCATCTTTGTGCCGCTGTGCCATGTCCTTTTGGCCGGTTGAACAAGTGTATACCGCTTTTCCCAGCTGCAGGCTCCCCCGCCAGAAGCTGAGGTGGTGCGAGGTGCGGAGCTGTCAAAGCGTTGATTCACATGGCGGAGTTCTTTGTGAAATGCGCATCCATCATCATCATCACCATCATCATCATCATCATCGTCATCGTCATCGTCATCGTCATCGTCATCGTCATCGTCATCATCATCATCATCATCATCATGATCATCATCATCATCATCATCATCATCATCATCATGATCATGCATGTGAGACACCATCCATGGAATCCATGTGCTCACTTTTCAGAGTTCACTTGGGTTCCTCAACGACCGGCAGGCTGGTACCCGCACTTCCACGAGCTCGTGCTCCGTGCCTCGGCCGGTGGGCCGTTGTAAAGTGCTCTTTGTGTTGCTATACAGCGCCTATATTATGATATGATGTATATATATATATACATATATATAATTATAATGTATTAAGAGTGTGTTACTCATAAAAAACATCATTGATCAGGCTCCTAATTGTACTCCAACGTGCATTTTTTTGGGGCCCTCACAAGACTCTCTGAGAGTTTGTTGCTTCAATCTATGTCCATATCAACCCAGCTAGCAACCCGGCTCGGCCTGAGGCCCCAGCGGTCCCGAGAAGCTCACGGGTGCTCGTGGCTTGGGAGCGTGCCTGGGGCAAAAGCAGGGTGGGTAGAGTATGGCGAATCAGTGGAAACCCAGTGAAGAGCAGACCCCTTTAGGGCCTTGAGGGTTGGATGGGTTTGTTCGACCTCCAGTCTCAATTAAGGGTCCATGGCACAGTTGCCCTTTTTCCATTGTGGAAGGAAGACTTTCCAACACAGTCTGACAGCAAGTTGGATGTTCAATTGTTTCCTGCCATATCCAGGATTAGCACCTCCAACCTCCCAGCAGACATTTATGTGTTCCAACCCTTTCCCAACGTTTGCCCGAAAACGAAACCAGACCCAAACAAACGATCCAGGCAGACCGATCGATCCAGGCCGACGTCGCCCTCGCCAGGTTGGTGCCTGCCGTGGCCCGGCTCGAGGGACCTGCTGTGGCTCGGTTTGCCCAAAAAGACACACCAAAGGGGACAGCTGTCGGACAGGAAGAAAACAGAAACACAGACACCTAAATAGAGGGAGTGAGCTCCAAACAGGATGGGTCCCGCTGCAAGACGACACGTTTCTCCATCATCGACCGAGGTGGTGCTGGAGATTTTGGAGGTGATCCTTGACGCAGCCGAAGCTGCAGTGGTGCCCTTCACTGAAGCAGTGGAGGAGGAGGAGTGAAGATGTCTGGATGTGCATGATGAGGGTCTGAAGTGGTGAATGTGAGCCGGTCGGTTCATGACGCAGTGTCGATGTATAGTGAATTGGATCCACATTCCTTCCGCTACATAACCTGAATCTTGCTGGACCCTCAAAGAAAAGACCCGCCGATGCACGCCGACCCCGGCGCGAACGGCAGAACGCCAGGACCCCGACCCCGCCGACGCGCCGGCCACGCCGGCTGCCTCGACGGGAGCGGCGAGCACTTCGGCAGCGGGCCAGCGGCTGACGGCGACGGCACCGCGGGGGGGGGTTGGAACAGCAGGATAGCGCGGGTGGAAGGGTGTGTAGGAAGAAGGTGTGTACCAGGATGTGCCAGAATTCTTTTCGATGGATGAGTTGATTCCGCGTATCTACAGACCATGCGCCACGATGGCGCGCGGCCTCCGCTCGCGGCGAGGCCTTGCCTGAGCTGGCAGAGGCGGTCGAGTTGTCCACGGTGTTGGCGCGTTGGAGCAATTTCGATGTTTTTCCTCAAAGATAGGGCTTATATACCACGATTATATATCCCATATATATATATATATATGTTTTTTTAAATAACTTTCTTATTTCTCCGAACAGATGATTTCCATTTTCATCAGTCGGAGCGTATTGAAGCAACCTGTTTCAGAAGGTGCAAGGGTGGAGACGTGTCTGTCATATGGGCACCGCTTCGTGAAAGCAGCGTACATGACTTATACAATACCTATATATACATGCTCAATGGTCGATTCATAGTTAGTGTTAGCATGTGTTAGCCATCTCCGCGACCAACTAGCGGAACCAGAACCACGAACAGTTCACGCAGGAACCACGTTGGGATTTCTAGGATGCTTTGCTTTTCACCTGCGAATCAACGACCACGTGGAAAGTCATGTTCAACGACACGTCTGACAATCCTCACGAGGCTCTCTCCCGCGCGATCCCAACCGTCTCCCGCTGGCGGGGCGGCTCAGCAAGTCTCTCGTTGATCCGAACAAACGAGGTGTGATTGAAGAGCATCCTGATTTTTCAGTGCTAACTCATTTCCAGATTGACACCTAGGGTGCAATAGTTCTTTACAATTGACTAGGTGTAATCGATGTGGGCATGTGGATACGCAATTGCTCGCATGGCGTCGCATGGTTGGGGTCACACAATTATGTATATATTCCCTTCCAGCGGTGGTTGTGCACAAACTCAGACCAAGCTTTGTTTTTAACGGCACTGGATGTTGCTCTGTATGTCTTAAAAACCCTCCAACAGTTATTTGTGACTGTTGGAATCCCCCGAAGAGCCCTTACGGTGTCCTTTCTTTGCATCCTTCGAATTTGGTTCTGTTCGACTGAAGGTGCGATGGCTTTGACTCAGGTTGACTGGCACTCAGTGGGTGCGTCTGCTGGCCGTTCGGGATCCTAAGTGCCGCCCTGCGGACTTCGGCGAATGCGAACAAACCAGCTGGAGTTACATTTTGTCAGCCTTTTTCCCTGTACATCCCTGCCAGGCAGGGTGTACTGCGGTTCTGTTTTAGGCCTTTCGAAGCTGCAAAAAAGCGGATCCGTCGATCCCGACGAGTCGTCGTGCATTTTGGGGCGGTCCCAGGTCGGAATTCAGCTCTTCCGCGGCTTCCACCGGGTCTTCACCAAGCGAAGACCTTTGGTGGCCCAAGCGGTCGCCCACCTGCCTGGGTTCCCGAGCCGGTTGGCCGAGTTGGTTAAACAATGTTCAACATTGCAGAGTCCAAAGTGGAACAGATCCTCTCTTCATATTTTTCCCGAGTCACCACGAACTCCCCCCACCATGTGGCGAGTGGGTCTCCAGTCTTCACTGAAAACCACTGAAGTCGTCATGTTCGCACTCCAGTCATTCGGCGAATCTTCCCAAAAATGGACCTGCCCCAAAAACCGAGGTTGTCCGTCTTCCGTGCGGCCAGCAAAGAGGAGCGGGAGGAGAGCTCGGGCGGCCTAGAAGTGTGAAGTTTGAGCCCAGGGAACACCTGAAGCCAGGACAGAAGAGTTCCACTGATCTCTGAATCTCCCTGATTCCAGTCTTCCGTTTTCGTGTGACGGACCTTTCTTCACCTCCTTGTGGAGCTTCCCCCGACGAAAAAGCTGGAGGTCGATCTGTGGCATGGGGAGCGACCGAGGTGCAACCTCGTTGGAGCCTTACGAGGCCTTGGTGGCACAAGGGATAACGCTCATGGCCAGGGAGCCCCAGCGGGGCTGGAGTCTTTTTCGAGAGTTTGGTGATTTTGGTGATGGAATGTCAGAAATCTGGAGCTCTCCAAACGTCACACTCTGCGACGAGTGTGGTGGGAATGACGTGTCGAACGGGACAAGTTGGGTATGCTTTCCACCAGCATCTTTCACCCGTTGCAGCTGTATCCCACATGTGGCATTGAAACAGAACACACCCAGCGACGTCCGTCGGTTTGGGACGTCGGACGTCACGATGCCACCGGCCGGGGGATACTTGAGGTCACAGAGGACGAGTCCTTGCAAGGCCTGTGGGAGCTCATTTTGAATCATTTGGAGCATGAGAAGCGCCTCGAGGCCGGGATCCGCGCAGAGATCATCTGCGGATCCGCCGGGTGTGAGGGGTTTTGGGGCCGCGAAGCTTGGGGGCCGGGTGACCTGTTGTTTTCGTGGGTGGGGAGCACTGCCCGGTTGGAACGGACCACGAAGGGAATGTGTTGGAACGGACTGCCCGGTGCCACGGGGTTTTCAGCGATGTGTGGGACCTGGAGGAAGTTCAGCTCTTGGCCGACAGCCTCACCCGGAATATCCTGATGCTTGCGCGACAAGGCGAGACAGCCCGCTCGCAGCCTGGCCGGAACAGCAACGGGAACGGGGCAACACTGGCCAGTGTGGTTCGGCAGGAGCAAGACTTTTCCAAGGTGAATGGATGTTTGGCATGCCCATTGCAAACTTCCACGGCCATTCTGCAGAGAATGGTTCAGTTGCTTTGGCAGTTGAAAGATCTCTAAAATGCCTTGAATGCATGGGCGGTTTCTAAGAAACAGCACCTCTCCGATTGATTGAAATGGCAGTGTTTTTTTCATATTTCCTTTGACATCAAAGGTTTCTTTTTGATGCTTTGTCCAAGAAACTATGGCAAAATACATGAACAAATCATTACGTTGGATCAATGTTTTTCTCGAATACTTACTTTCCTTGCGCTCGCTGCACGTGCTTAAGAACAACCTTTTTTCCGACGATGTAGTTCTTGATTGCCTTTTTCTAGCCTCACCAAAAAAAACACCTTACGAACGCATATGTCTTCCCTTGCTTCCTGAGTACGGGAGCAACTGCTATGTGAACCAGTTGGGTACGTCCAACATTGCGAACCAGTTACCGGTGTCCATGTTCAGGCATCACGCAGTCCCCGGGGCCCCCTTGTCGCTCTCGAACAGCGGTCGAGGAGCCTTCTAGACATCATTAGCTTGAGTACATTGAGGTAATGTAGACTCTTGATTAATAACCCCCCCATTAAATTGGAAATCCACTTCATATGGGGGGTTTATTATATAATCTACATGATTTAGGATCACTACTACTAATTTGTGCAGGAGAAGCGTCCAACCGTCCATTGGTGCAGGTGTGGAAAACTACCTGCGGCTACAGCAACAGGAGGCCCAGCCGTCACGTCGGAGACCATGCTGTGAGGGCGGCTGAGGATCGAATGTCTCTACAGGGCAACTAGGACATAAGAATAGTAGTAAGGCCAGGAGCCCCTGTCTTAGCTCCTAGTAGTAAGGCCAGGAGCCACTAGTAGTGTCTTAGCTCCTAGTAGTAAGGCCAGGAGCCCCTAGTAG